ATACAAAAATATGATTTTGTGTAACGCATTTCACATTCTGATCTGTAATACGATTCGCACTAAGTCGGATATTCTTAACTCGTGTGGGGACAAACAACACGTAAATATTGGAGGGGGGGGGGGGGTCACCAAACTGATCAGCAGTAATTATTCGCTTGGCCGCCAATAAAAAAAGGTTTTCGCATTTAAACGAAGGTTATATCTAAATATTGAGGCCACCTGCAGGTTACGAGATGTAAACAGAGCTAGCGCTAACCCTAACTATAGACCTAGCCCTAACCCCTAGGCCTACCTACAATCCTCGACAATAATCACGTGCTCTAAGCCCCTAACCCTGTTTACACCTCGTAACCTTAAGGTGGCCTTAACATTTAGATCTGACCCTGTGACGAAACAATTTGGAACGTCACATCTATTTCAGCAACACTGATCTTTGCCTTTGGTATTATGAGCATGGACGAGTTGTCAAGCATGCCATTGTGTGGAGTGTGGTTTTGAGGAGGGTAAGACCCCCGTTTAGTCGTTAAAAGATATGAAACAAACTAGAAAAATTGTCCAACCATTTAGTCTATCGTAATAGGCCTACAATAGTTATGAGAAAAAAAACCAAACTGGGCAGGCGACCCTCCTTCAGTCCTTCCACAGACTAACTCTGTGGTCCTTCCTTGTCAAACAAACTTCGGATCGGAACGACAACACCTGATTCAATAACAGACCTCATGGTCTAAAGCGTACGCGTTAGACAACTCAACACCCCCCTCCTCCCTTATGAGATAATAAGTTGCTATCAAAATGTAACATCCTTCGTCGTAATGTACGGAGGCCATGGGAAGTTGGGATGAAAAACTGTTGGAATTGGAATTGGAATTCAGTTGTCCGGGCAAAAATTCCCTCATTCCCGTCTTCATTAGCCCTGTGTACTCTGTAGATCTATGCAGAATTGAAACTACTAGTACGATTTACCCAAATCCACCATTATTTCAACTCGTATCATAATAATTTATATCGATATTTGATAACATACCATTCTTTAATGCCTAATTGTCATTTTCAATTTAAAATACGATTTCCTGGTTGCAACTTCCAGTCTTATTAAGGAAATCTCATTTGGAGCGGCATTTTCATTCATTCATTCATTCTCAGTAATGTCCCTTTAAGATAAACAAGAAGAGGAACTCCCCATTGATGTACAGGATATGTTTGAGTCTTCCCTCTAGACTATGTTTGTTATTACTGGTTCGGCCCCCCACAAAACATGGTATAAAGCGTTTACCTATATACACGTGTATATTTATCAGGCACAAAACAAAGCACTAATATATCTCCATTAGACCAGACACATTCTGTTTTAACGAGCATGTTATAAACGCAGTGACGACTTTCAGAGTGCACTTTCTCCATGAAAATATTATTTTTAGACATTTAACCAAGTTGTACATTAAAAGAAAGAGAGAGAAGTGTACAATTGTTCTGAAAGTATCTCTACCACATGTATGAAATCATAAACGAATTTTCTTTTTTTCTTCTCAAATAATACATGAATAAAGGCTCAAATCATGCTTTTGGGTTTTGTCGTATAGATATAGATAGTTTGAAATTCAAAACAATACTTTTTTTGTATACTTATTGGGTGATTTTTGTTTTTAGTTTTTTTATGATTTGAAATGGAAGCAATCACCGTCAGAAACTAAAATAGTAGTAGAATCCAAAAGTAATTGCAAGTCTATCAAGAAAGGAGTATAAGGGAGGTAACTCTATTTTAGAACCCCTATCTTTCGTCGGGCTGAAGTTCAAACTGACAAGGTTACTAAATATCATTGATTCTAAAGTAATGTGTACAGTAGCGGATTATCAGTGAGGCTGATGAGGCTGCAGCCTCAGGCCCAAAGATTTTGTAAAAAAAATTTTTTTAGACTTGTCTGATACGATTAAAAACGCATAGACAATGAATGTTAGGGGGGTGGGGTTTAGGCCCAACGGGAATCAACATAGGCCCTGACCCGAAATTAATTAGGCCCACGCCATTTTAAATAGGCCCTATTGTTTGGAGATCTCATCTTATTTTTTAAACGTAGGCCTACAATGTACGTTAAATCCTTGTAAGTTTTCGGTTACGTCTTGCTTAATATATTGTATCCACGTGACGTCATTTATGGGCATATAAAGTTACATTACGTTTTTAATGTTAGCAACTACCTTGGCTCTAACTTTAAAAACTAAATAGGCCCCCAGCAACTGCCGCTTCAGGCCTTAGTGGAGCTTAATGTGTAATATCAGAATATCATTAGTATGTATACATGTTCATTATTTCAGTACAAATTTAAAAATTAGCAAGGATTTTATCGCTGTGAATCCATCCTTATATTAGTATTTAATAGGCCTGCAGTAACCATGTTAATGTTTGATTTCTCCAGAAGACATTTTTTTATGGTTTGCGAGATATATTTTTCCCTGTAATACTGTCCTGCAATAATCAGTACCCAGTTAATTTTTTTTTTTTTTTTTTAAACAATATTTTTTTCAGACTTGTATCTGAATAGTGATTGGGGAAAAGACATTAATTAATAGATTTATCCCTCCCCCCATCAGATACAGATATTGTCTATTTCCCCCTTCAAACCCCCGCCCCGTCAGATATTATCTATATTCCGTCCTTCCTGTCAGATATAGATACAGGTATTGATTAATAAAGAAACCAGTAACCATGTTAGTGACATTATCATTTGGTTTAATGACCATTCCATACAGTAGTTTATATTATGAGTATAAAATTACAGAATAAAGTATATTATATATTGAGAGAGCTAGATAAGTAGGAATTGTAATATAAGCTTTATATATATATAAAAACCACACTCCCAAAGATAGAAAAAAAAAGTATAAATGAAAAAAAGAGAAATATCACTGAGTATGACAAATGTATTTTAAGTGTTAATAAAGCTAGATATATGCTTACATATAAAATAAATATCTTTAATAAAGTGAATAGCTGGAAAAAAAATTCCTAAAAGGTGCCTTGTAAATCAAATATGGAATTTTCATGATCCTTTATCAAAGTAATTATGAAATGACTTATATTAATGCCTTTTTTTCATAAAGTCGCAAAACATAGCCTCCCTCTTTTGACATAAACCAAACTCCTTGTGAAGAAAGAAAGCGAAAAATAAATCTTTGAACGAAAACAAGGAAGAATGAGTTACTCTCATGCTAAATTTGAGATATTTTTTAACACTTATTTATGGTTAAGTATTAAAGAGGCATTATGGGAGATTAGATAGAGAGTTGACTGTTCTTGCTGTAATAGTTGAAAAATAGATAACGTAAATATAATATGTTAAAAATTTTAGTCAAATAGCTCCACTCTGAACCGAGATATTAGCTTTTGAATTTTAAGCCTAGCCTCGATCATCATTACTAAAGTCGGTACGATAAAAAATGTAGTCTCGATTATCTATTTTTGGATTTAATCAACAATGAGCGTTGAGCAGCAGATCAGATACAAATCCAGTGAAAATCTCACACATAAGATGACATCGAGAGTTGATTATGGTTTTGATAAGTTAATAAATGTCTAATTAATAGTTTATATAACATTTCAGGCCTAAAGAAAGACCTACAATAGGCAGATTTCCGTTAAGTAACAATACTGCTCTACGTGTATGTAATTAAGAGGGAGTAAACTCATTAAAATATGTAAAATCAATGAAAATTGTGTCGAAATCTGGGGAGGTAACTCCCTTTCATTGATCTGAATTCGGACAACACAAATATTCTCATTTATGATGGTCCGAGATAGAGAAAAAAGAAATGATAAATTTAAGATGTAAAAATGAAATGATATTTAAATAAATGAAATGATATTTAAATAAATGAAAAACTAGTTAATGAAAATATATTTTAAAAAAAATTAGCAAAATATTCTAGGTAAGTTATTTATTATGCTTTTTAAATAAATATACAACAAGCTTAATATAAGTTTTCTGTATTTATTTGATATATATGACAATTTTAAGTCTAATTTATTATGACAATGAAATAAAGGAAATGTAAAAAAAATGTATGGAACTCCTCCCATGAAATAAAATAATCGTTATTATGAAATTATTATTTTTACCATTTTTCTGTTCAAATTACAAATTAATAACTTAAATCAGTACAAAAATAAACGTTTATAAAAAAAATAAATGGATTAGGATGTATCAACTGAAATTTAAATGAAATAAAAATAATCTGAGACAATCTCGAATATTAGGATATTACTTTTAACTCTCATGGTTAAATTTCAAAATAAATTTATACAAAAATAACTCATGAATTGATATTAACATTATAACTAGTTTTGGGGATGTGGGGATCAAGCAAGAATGTTCCAGATTTGAATCCTGACATTGGGTGAAAATGTTTCTTTGATATTTTCATTGCCTGATGGTCACTGTTGGGCTGATAATGTTACCTAGTCCCTCGGATCTCATTAAAAAGTCCAGCCATGTACACACACCAAAGTGTCTGTAAAAGAACCCATGACAGTTCGAATTCAATGAAGAGTACTTACTGGTAGGTGGAAAAGCCACTATCAACACAAAGTTCTGTTCCCTAGCACTGCACATCTGAAGATACTTAGCACTGCACATGTGACCATACCTAACACTGTACATGTTACCATACCTAGCACTGCACATGTGACCATACCTAACACTGTACATGTTACCATACCTAGCACTACACATGTGACCATTGTATAAAAACCCAGTTTGTTAGTCTCAAAATAATCAAAGTATTGCATTCATGAGATGTTAAACTATTCAACTCGAATAAACGCCCACCGTCCGTTTTCTTTCTTGAAACTTGATTAAACAATATTTGCTGACATATAATTTCCATGTACAATAAACCTAAAATAAAACCTACAATGGAATATGGATGGTCATAATAAACGACCCCTTCTGGTAAAAAGTTTATGTAATGCCTGTCACACCATGGCGGTTATAAAGTGGAATACAGTAGATATGTATAGTTTTATTTTAAATATCTTAAATATTGATACATGTATCTTCAAGATGTTCCCATCTGATAAATGAAACGATATATTTTAGTATATATTTGAGACATAAATGAGAATAATAACCAAGCCTGGAAATAAGGCACCTGTCACAGACAATGTCAGACACAGATTCAGGCTTTGTCAGGCACAAAACCTCTGGTGCCGGTCATTTTGTCCGGCACTGATTTGTCTTTTTTATTGATATTATTAATTCATGTCCGACACTAAGTTAGAAAATGTCAGGTACTATTTCATTAGTGCCTGACATTTTGTCAGATACATCTAAAACCGTTATTTCCAGGCCTGATAAAAACTATATTTCAAGAGATACAAAAAGTAGTTGCCAGTGGATATTTTCACAAATTTTTTTTAAGAATCAACTAATTTTATATAAGTCACATTTACTGATAAATTGTATTATTTTTGTACCCTTTACAAGTCCTTATTACATGGCCCCATATCTTCAATTACATGAAAGTTATGGAATATATGCCTTCAACTTACTTAATGGTCATTATGTACATTATGAAACCAGCGATTTCATGCCTAGGGTGTAATTTATATAAGTAAATGGATATAAACAATAGTATGGGTATCTATAATGATAAATATATATATAATTAAAATACAGATGTGACGCCATCCTTTGATGTTGGCGTACCATTATTTCCAATAATGTACGAGCAACTTGCCAATCGTACATTATCTTTACTAGATGAAATATTGGACTTGTGTGTTTAATGGTCTGGAGCTAAAGACATTGCGTAATATATTGAAACAACAGTATCAATATATTAATTAATGTCTGGCTCTCGACCTTTAAACCATACATATTATTTTTAATTGTTATATTGATGAATGTATTGATAGAATAGCTGCTTTAGGTTGTAATATCCTGTACTTGAATTAGGGAGGGAAGTAATTGTTTTTCTTCTACTTGAAGCACTAACAAAGGGATATTAAATTCATCAGAGACTTTAATCAACATGAAATTTAAGAGACCATTCATTTTAAGTTAACTCTCTTGGATCTGTTCCTATATATTCTTGTTTTCTTCACGTAAATTTCCTTATTGGTATCAAGCCATGGGAAGATGATATAAATATAACACACTTCAATAATAAATCTTTATCAAATCTTTGTTACGATTTCAGCCTAACCTAGATCAGTGATTCCCAACCTCTTTCCATAGCTTGGGACATTTTAAAAATCTCTGAGCCCCCCGCCCCACGTCTACATTTAATGTGTTCAGTCAAATTTCCCAGGAAAGGATTGATTTCAAGATTCCATCTCTGACCTATCAATATGTTAATAACGTAGCATCATCTTATTTAACTGAACTAATTCAAAGTTACGAGCCTTCCCGGAGTTTGCGCTTATGTGACCAAATACAGTTGGCGGAGAATGAAAAAATTTGGGGCAAGAGCTTTTAGTTTTCTTAATCCATCAAAATGGAACGATCTTCCAGTGTTCATTAAAAGTACTCCTTCTATTGATTGTTTCAAATCCAGACTTAAAACATACCTATTTCAAGGTTATATTTAATTTAAAATTGCGTGTAGAAAGCACATAGAGCATACTTTAAGTGTGGAATTGACACTATACAAATGTTCCTATTATATATTATTATTATTATTATGGGCCTTCGAACATCAACCCATAGCAAGATAGTAGCCACTGCAATTCATTGTTCAGGTTGGGAATCAGTAACCTAGATGAAAGTTTAAATAAAATTTGATAATCTATAAAACTCATCAGTATAGCACACAAAATAATCCACCATAGCACTGTATCATTGATTAATCTCCAACTCCTCCATAATATCACAATTATCTTCTCTCGAGTCTTGTCGATTATTTTGGTTTATTTCTTGGAGTAAGAGCTCGTCTAGCTGATATAGGTGTTTTGTTGTTTGATGTTGTTTTATTATTTAACGGTGTTTTATTATTAGATGGTGTTTTATTTATAAGAGCCGGTGAGTTATAGGGAGAGTGTGGTAATGGTGATCTAGATGGTGTACTCAAGGTATTCTGGAAATAAAATATCACATATATACCAATTGTTATAAGTCAAAATTTAAAATCTGCAAGAGCACTGAGAGAGAGATGGGGGGTTTAAGGTGCGCTTGACACAAACTAGGTCATTTCAGGACTAACATGTGGTTTAATTTTATTACAGTAAATTCGCTTGTGCATAGGGGTCTTTAGCAGTGGGAGGAAACTGAAGGACCCGGAGAAAACCCACTAGGTTGGGCAAGAGCACTGATCCAAGTAGATGTTTGCCCAGGCTGCTGCGCTGTGGCCTACCCTTTTGATTTGCAACATTCGGGGGATGATCTTTAACGTGCTGCCATTAAATATCCAGTTTTCATCTCATTTAAACAGAGAAAGAGAAATGGGGTTTAACATCCACTCAACACAAACCTGGTCATTTTGGGATTAATTTTATTTCAATAATTTGCTTGCGCGTTGGGGTCTTTAGCAGTGGGAAGAAATTGGTGGACCCAGAGAAAACCCACAAGGTTGGACAGGCAACCCTACTCCTTGTCACGTACAACCGGGGATTTGAAACCACGCCAGTTGACTCAATGACAGGCCTAATGATACAGCGCGCATGTGCTAACCATTCGGACCTCCACCCCCCCCCCCCCCATTTAAACAACAAGACACCTTTTCTTGCTAGGACTTCCACTCTGCAACACTGACAAGGGTAGGGAGGTGGGGGTGGGGACTTGGCTAGAAAATCCTGATTAAATTTCTCAGGCGACAACCTGATCGACGTAGTACAGCTCCCCCAAATTTATAATATTTAACTGAAAATGTTGACCAAATGCAATGATTTTAGCATGGATTCTCCCCTTTCTTAAAGAGCTAAGGAACAAGTCATTAACTGCTCAGATTATTTTTAATGATTGCTAAAAATTTCTTCATCTCTTTCAAATTTATAACAAGACTCGATCATGATAAAATTTTATTGCACAAGATTTCTTGAAATAACATCCATAAAATTTACTGTTTTTAAATTTGAACAAAAAAGACAAAGAAATTTAGCAATCATCAACAATTAAAAAGTTCAGCAGTTTAAAAATATTGTCAACTGACAACACCATCTACAATAAAAGCATTTATATTTCATGTCACTTTCCCTGATTTTTTCGATTGCATGTAAGGGTTGTTAGCAGTGGGATGAAACCAGAGTACAGAGAAAAACCATTAGGTTAGGGGTCAGTTACAATGTGATTAAAACACAGATCCTATTTCGTTTCGTTTTTTATAGTTCAAAATTTCGTTTTGTCTTTACTACACTAGGATCTGGAAGAGTTATGTTCTGGTTCTGGTTGATGTGAGGGAATAGCCAATGAAACGATCTGTTACGGTGAGTTTTTGGTGTGCGGTGCAGGAAACTGTGGGTAAACCACTAGAAACATCAACGCCGATTGATTAATCAATGTCTGACTTCATAAGGTCAAAAGCCGCTCGTATGACACCTGACACGACCTTCAACTACAACCAGTCAGATCTTCACGTAGTGTATGCCATCGAAAGTATAAAAAACCGAAATATAGATCTGTATTTTAACCAGATTAGGGTCAATTAGGGAAGAGAATAAAATTTAATTAAATTTGTTTCTGCGTTTTTTCACCTCGTTTATGTCTCCTGTTTCAAGTTGTCGAGTAGCCGATCCAAGTTGTACTGTTCTAACTCTCTGGGCGAAGTTTAATGTACAGATAGTCTCACTGACATTCTGAACAGCTGGAGAGGCCTGAACGATCATCAATGTTTTACTATCACCTCCTGAAATAAAAATATAGTAAATTTAACAACCCCAAAATATTATAAAGCATAATTTTGTTAACATGAATGAACATTTCCGTAACGACGGTTATAACTTAAGTTTAACCCTAATCATGCAGTTGGCACTTATCAGTGCCAGTCAGCAGGACCTATTTAACCTTGGTAGTCGAAACAGCAGTCTATTGTCTGCGATACCACCCAAGACATAAGCCAACGTAAAACCCCACGAACGAACAGCAGTGTATAGTTAACAAACCCAGCCAATTTAAAGCATAGTACAGAAACACAGTCAACCATATTGAAACAAAACTAGTAATTTGAGTTTAACAACTATGTATTTTCAGAATTAGAGCCGCAGATTTTCATTTTGAGATTACAAATATATTAAAAAATGGTTCCATTTGATGTTGCCAAGTGAATCTTGTAAGTATTTTGACATACCAAGTAAATCTTGTAATAAATATGTTAATTTTGACTTACCAAGTGGATCTTGTAATAAGTAAGTTAATTCGAACTTACCAAGTGAATCTTGTAATAACTAAGTTAATTTTGACTTATCAAGTGAATCTTAAAAGTTAATCTTGACTTACCAAGTGAATCTTGTAATAAGTAAGTTAATTTTGACTTCCCAAGTGAATCTTGTAATAAATATGTTAATTTTGACTTGACAAGTGAATCTTGAGTTAATTTGAACTTACCAAGAGAATCTTGTAATAAGTAAGTTAATTTGGAGTTTCTGTAAGGTACATGGTTCTGTTTACTACGTAATGAATGAATGACGTCACCAAGACACGACAAGGATTTGTTGATATTTTGAGCCTCTTTTAATCTGGTACCGTCTGCTCCCGACTTACTGACTCGTTCTGATCCCGCTAAATCTACCAAATTTAATTTTCCTGTAAAATAGAAGATAGTTAAAGTGATGATTTAAAATCTAAAGGAAATGAAACCAGATGGAGAGAGTAATGGGGTTTAGCGTCCACTCGACATAAATTAGGTCATTTCATGACTAACATATGGTTTAATTTTATTTCAATAATATGCTTGCGCGTAGGAGTCTTTAGCAGAGGGAGGAAACTGGAGGACCCGGAGAAAACCCATGAGGTTGGACAGGCGACCCTACTCCTTGTCACATACAAGCTGGTAATCGAAAGCACACTACTTGACTCAATGACAGACCGTCTGATTCAATGCGCACGCATTAACCATTCGGCCACCCAACCACCCTCCACCAGATTGGCATATGCCATGCAGTCTGCTAAGAGGTAAATTTTGCCTAGACAGTGGTACTTTCAACTAATCTTCATCAAATTACAACTGACAAGGTTTCTTTACATGCAAGCCCACAAGTACACCTCTGTTTTTCAATCAATCCGAAAAACAGGCACTGCGTCTCTTACAAGGGGGGAAACAAGACTAGAAAATCCAAAGGAACGTATTCAGTCAAAACTGTGATTCAAACCAGGATTGTGCCTTCCAAAATCTGGAAACTGTGTTTTTACGGAGATCAGTTCACATTGAAAATGAACCTAATCAGAATTCTATTAAGAACATTAAATGATAGCTGAATCTCCTCCGATGTATTCTGGTAGGGACATCACTGAATGTGATCTAAGAAATGAACAAATTTATGATAGATTTTATCTGAGCTTCCAACACAAGAATATGAAATTGTAAATAAACAATGCTATATAGTTATAATCCTTGGCATTTAGTGATTGAGCACATTAAAAAAACACATCACAATTTATATGGAAAACAATCACTGGTTTATATTTGTTGAAACTTTGTGCTGTATGTGTATAAACCAGTAATATGCTCAATTGCTAAATGCCAAGGATTATAACTATTCTTGTGTTGGAAGCCCAAATTGTTCTCCATATAAATTGTGTTGTGTTTTTTAATACTATATAGTTATAAATACAAACCTTTTGTTCTAGTATTTGTAGTTCTATTAAGACCAGTAACTTCTATACATAATAAAGCATGTGACCGGGATGAATGTTCATTTAAATTAGTCGTAGCCGTAGCTCGATTCTTCTGTCCTGTCATAAAAACCTGACAAAATCAAAAACAAAGAAAGAATTAATGAAAATCTACAAATTTGAGACAAATCAGTCTATCAATTTCAAGGTACAGACATAAATAACTTTCACTTTATCATTCATACATAGAAAATCTCCTACAAGTCTTTTTTGATAACGTTTTTTTTTATTTATCGATGAGTAGGAGATTTTATTTATCACTCAATCCTTTCTTACATGCACAAATAAATAAATATAATTCTTTGCTATAGATTTCACTTTTACTGAACCTGATTACATTACGGTGTAGTGATACATCATTTTTTGACAGCAATTCAACCATTGCAAAGTCCTTCATATTGACTCAGTGTTTTCATCAAAGTCAATTAAATAAAAATAGTTCTATTTTTAAAAGAAAGAAGTCACTTTTAATAAAAAAAAAATGACCTGTTCTTTGAAAATAAAAATAAAATTCAGTAGATTATGAAATTTATCACACAAGCGATAACTACTGTAGAATGTATTATTGGGTGATAAACCCATGTTTTGTGGTTTTCAAGGAGTTTAAAAGATACCCATGAAAAATTTCTAGCAATAAATAGGTCTGTGTTTGGTTTATCTATATTTAGATAAGATTACGGTTATTTTGAATGTTTTATTAATCAAAATTATAAACATTTTTTTCTTCAATAAAACAGATAAAGCCACTTTAACATTAAGATATAGTATTGGTACAATGTACACTGTTATATTTTTTGGTCTATTTTTTGTTGTACAGTTTTCCTGAGGTTTCTAGTAGTTTTAAATGATTTGTATATATTAATAAGGATGAATGGATTGCAATAAGATGAAGTCTAACATCGTACTTATTTGTACAGACTCCGCTAATTCAGGGAAACTGTCTGAGCAGCAGGTTCCATCTACTCTGCATTGCATTTCAACTGTCAAGGGTTCTTTTACGTGTCCCATCCAAATGACTAGATTCATTGCCAGGCCCTACAATCAAAAGACTGTCTACAGTTTTCTTCCGATAAATTTCTCCGTGATAACATACCTGATTAACTTGATTAAGGGAGGTAACTTGTATTGTTGATAAACCAGGTACATATAATCCACCACCGTCTGATTTCATTTTAATCTCTAATTTACTTCCATCATCATTACGATTCAATAAATCTCTAAAATAATCAAATACACATTTAATAAATCTCCAAATTCAATCGCAAAAGACAAATGAGAAGGCAAATAGAGACGCAATAGCGGATTGAACATTCGAAAAAGGTGTCAACTGATGCAACACAAAAATTTCGGGTACAAAACATGTGCAAATGAATATAAAAAATATTACTGCCTCAGTTGACCACCACAGTTGAAATAATTGATTATGATTGCACTCACACCACATCTGTGGTGAACCTAAATTAAACTAGTGCTGGGTATTGCCACTGCAGTCACGATACGATACGTTCTACGATTCAGGTGATACAATATGATTCGTATCACAATTTATAACCAGGTTAATATTTACCAAGCAAACAACAGGAAAAATGAATAATTGATATTTTTAGTCCTGTCGATGTCGAAGAAATAAAACAGTTGTATATCACGATATTGATGTGGATCAAAATAAGGACCAAAGCAATTTAAGACTGTTTGTGTACCTATGGATAATGTGTGACATGGGTAATTAAGAGTTTAACATCCACTCGACACAAACTAGTTCATTTCGGGACTAACAGTGGGAGGAAACTGGAGAACCCAGAGAAAACCCACGAGGTTAGACAGGCGACCCTACTCCTTGTCACGTACAACCAGGGAATCAAAACAACACCAGTTGACCCAATGACAGGTCTTCTGATGCAACGCGCACACATGCTAACCATTCATCCACCCAACAACCCAGTATAGATAACCTGCTACCCCTTAGCCATACAATTAAAATACTGTATTATGCAAAATGAAATTCAAATGGGTCACCCAGCCATATATCATTAAAATGTCTTCTTTGAATGGCATTTAGTAATTGGAACATAATCAAATAACACACTTTTATGGAATAACAATTACTATGGTTTATTTCACCACAGTAATTGTAATTCCCTCAAAGTGTGTTATTTGATTATTAAACTGTGTTGATAATGTTCTAAGAAAAATATCAACTGACCTGATATTTTCGTTATAAATTTCGAGTACACTAACACTGATAGTATATTCCCAATCTGTACCTCGTTCACGTGTCTCATTAAATAATTCTATTAAAGCTCTCTGATTTATACCTGGATCACTCACAGGGCCCTGGAAAAATAAACAAGTATATGTTAATGCTTGATTAAAGATACATCATGTGAGATTAGATAAAGAGCTGGCAATTCTCACTATAATAGTTAAAAACTAGATAATGTAAAGGGAATTTGCTTAAAATTTCAGTCAAATTGATCCACTCTGAAATGAGAAGTTAGTGAATGAAATTTCAGCTTAGCCTCGATCATCATTACTAAAGTCGGTAAGATAAAAACATAGTTTTATCTTAATTATCCATTTAATGATTAAATCATGAATGAAAGTTGAGTAGCAAATCAGATCCTAATCCAGTAAATATCGCAGACTAATGATGACATCGAGAGTTGATTATGGTCTGGATAAGTTAATTAATAATTCAATTAACATTTCAGGCCTAACAAAAGACCTGCAATAGGCAGATTTAGCTCTTGCACAAGCCTGGGATGGGAGTCATGGATTAAATGATCTTTGTCTACCCAACCAGCAGAAACAGATAGCTACGTACCTCCATGGTATATGTTTTACCAGACCCTGTCTGACCGTATGCAAATATACAAACATTATAACCATCAACACACGATGTTACAATTGATCGTACTTCTTCAAATACCTGAAATATAATTATAACCTACTATAGATCGTACTTCTTCAAATACCCGAAATATAATTATAATTTACTATTGATCGTACTTCTTCAAATACTTGAAATATAATTATAATTTACTTTTTATCACACTAGAAATACCTGAAATATAATTATAATTTACTTTTTATCACACTAGAAATACCTGAAATATAATTATAATTTACTTTTTATCACACTAGAAATACCTGAAATATAATTATAATTTACTATTGATTGATCGATAGAGAGAGATGGGGGTTTAATGTCCATTAAATACAAACTAGGTCATTTCTGGACTAACATATTGTTCAATTTTGTTTCAATAATTCGCTTGCACATAGGGGTCTACAGCAGTCGGAGCGAACCAGAGGACCGGGAGAAAAACCCACGAGGTTGGACAGGTGACCCTACTCCTTGTCACGTTTAAGCCGGGAATGAAAACCCGGCCAGTTGACAAATCTTGTGATTTCACGCACACTCGTCAAGCCACTAGACCACTATTGATTTAACCTCCTCAAATACTTGAAAATATAATTATTATTTAAAATCAACACAATGTTACTGGTTATCAAATTTCCATCCTGCTCCTTGGTGGGAGTGATAATATAAGCAAATTTTTAAAATAGGACTGTCATTTAAGACAGTATTTACCTCCGTTTGTGAAGAGTTTTCATTAAAAACTTTATCCATTTCAAACACTTGACTGCGGCTTTTGTTAGCGATGAACAACAGTCCATCATCATAGGGGTCAAAGGTTACCACGATCTGTGAAGAAGATGAAATACCATCTTCTTTTATAGTAGGTCGAACTCGACAGAATACTCGGATATTACCTAGAAATATACACATGAAATACTAGAAATCAGTAAATGTACCTAAAACAGAATAGAATATTCAAATAGCACTCTGATGCATACACGAGACCTTGGTTTTTCATCCCATCTGAACAACTAGACGCTGTCCCTTGCCAGGCCCTCCATCCTGCACCACCAACAAGGGGAAGCCACAACGGAAAATTCTAATGAACTTTCTCAGTTACAAGAGGAACTACCAGTTTTGTGAGTCTCACTGAGCTACCATCATTATAATTGGCGTCACAGAGCACAGTACATCAATTAGCTTCTAGACAAATTTGTCTTTGAAATAAGTCACTTTAAGAACATTTTAGTGGATCACAATGTTTTTTTTATTATTGCTTTTATGAGATTCATAGCAACAGACCATTTCATTGGCTAATCCCTCACATCATCCAAAACGTGAGTTATTTAACAACTCTTCCAGATCCTAGTGTAGTAAAGACAAGTAAAACAAAATTTTTAACTATAAAAAACGAAACAAAATAGGATCTGTGTTTTAATCCAATTGCTTGAGAGATATCTGATCATCTTCGTACCACCGATTAATATTTCAACTTTCCTGGAAAAGCTTTTTAAGTTATTATAAGTTGACCTGTACACCACTCACCTCGTAGTTCTACCAGTTCATTATGATATTTCTTACGTAGTTTCATTTCACGATGATATTTATCAACTAATTCTTGATTTCTTTTGTTGATATCTTCAATAGCTCCTATTGCCTGAAATTCAAACACAATAAAATATTCAAATCCAGTAATGTGAATTGGCAAAAAAACCAACCCTCTTAACTGAAATAATTCTTTGAATTTGTCAACAAAATTGTAGAATTAGTTATCTCCCCTTATATTTTGAGAGAGAGAGAGAGAGAGAGAGAGTGCTCGATTCACAGTCCAGAACGTCCCAAATTGACACGTTGAGTGACGTGGAATTAGGTCCTGTCACAGTTCTGTTAGTCTCGACTACGGAGGTGGTGTGATTACAACCGTGACGTAATTAAACACAACGAATATGTTTCGGCTGCATGGTTGGTTGAGATATTTACTTATCCAGTTGTCGCGTGCGTTGTAGCCCGAAATACCCCTTTTCACTCAATTGTCACTATTATTGGGATTGAGTGAATTCGATTCTGGAACGTTCAATCGAACATCCCCAGAGAGAGATAGAGAGAGAGTCAAGAGAGAGAGAGAAACAATAATTTGGTTGTGCACAGAGGTCTTTCAGTTGCATGAGGAAAACCCATGAGGCAGTTGACCCTACTTCTTGTCACATACAAACGTGATATCTGAACCACAATACTTGAATCCATGACAGCCATGTGATGTAAAGCGTATGCATTACAACTACTCGACCACCCAACACTCACCACCTGAAACAAATAACACTAATCTTACCTCTTTCTTCACAGTATCAATGGTAACCGCTAAAACATGGGGAAACTGGGAAGCTTGTTTTCTCAACAAGCGATGTGACTCAACAAGTTGCTCAAACAACAAATTAATGGCGGAGATCTTGGAGTGCATCATTGAATTCTTTAACCGCAAATTCTTCATCTCTTCTTCAACTTCATCTTTAACTTCCTGGATACGTTTTTCTCGCTCTTCCTTTAATTCCTCGACTATTTGTTCGTGTTTCTCTTCCATATCAATCACTTCCGTTACATTCTTTTGTAACTATAATAAAAATAATTTGAATTCTTTTGTAACTAAAATAAAAATATTGGATACATCTTGTTACTAGAAATAATTTGAATTCTTTTGTAACTAAAATAAAAATAATTTGAATTCTTTTGTAACTATAATAAAAATAATTTGGATACATTTTGTAACTAGAAATAATTTAAATTCTTTTGTATCTATAACAGAAATAATTTGATTTATTTCGTAAATATAATAAAAAAACATAATTTAAATTCTTTTGTAACTATAATTAATTTTGCAACTTCAATAAAATAAATTTGAATTCTTTTGTAACTATAATTAATTTTGTAACTTGAATAGAATAAATTTGAATTATTTTGTAAATATAATTAATTTTGTAACTATAATAAAAATAAAATTTGAATTCTTTTGTAACTATGATAGAAATTATTTGGCAATTTTAATAGAATAAATTTGAATTATTTGTAACTATAATTTGAGGTCTTTTGCAACTATAGTTGATATTGAAACTAAAATAACAATTTGGATTCATTTTGTAATTTACTTCATGTAACTACAATATAGAAATAATCTTATTGGGATCTATTTCGTGTAACTACATGTATAATAGAAATAAATTGGATTTTGACTAATTTATAATAGAAATATTTTGAAAAACATAGCCACATAAAGCATTGGGGGTGGGGGTGGGGAGATGTCGAACCGTATCAACATTCAGCATTCCACAACCTTCCATATCATAGTTCCTGACCCCCACTGAAAACCTTGTGAACACGGTAGAGAATACAGTTAGTAACAGATTTTATTTTCAAATTTGGGATGAAGAATTGCGGTCATGAGAGGACAAACCCTGTTAATATTCAGCATTCTGCAGTCTTCCATTCTTGAGTTACAATGACTACAGGTTTTCTGCAAGATGAATACCTACAAACATTCCTCTCTTTTTTACCTGTTTTAGATATTGTTTATTTTCTTCTTGTAATTCAGAGATTTCATTGGCTGCTTCTGTATATTTTTCTTTCCAGTCTTGTACATCTGCTTCTAATGTGGATTTTTCTTTTTGACTTTCCGATAATTTTTGATTCAGTTTCTGAGATTCTACTTCAACCTCTACTCTTTCGATTTTTGTCATTACCTTGAAAATGGATTTTTTAGAATAAACGGATATAGATACAAGTAAAAACATTTTTATGAAATTTGTTTACATGCAAATAATAAACAATACCCATTCATCAATATTCCACACTTGGTTAAATTTGTTTCCATGGAAACACAAATATGAATAAATCTGAGAAATGTCTATATCTATAAGCAACCAATGCCACTGCTATAATAGATTGATGTTTGTGCAAAGCTTCATAAAAAAATCTTGAACGGTTTATGAAATATGCTTTGGAATCAATATTGTATACAAAAAATCAAATTCCAAATTAGCAAAAGTACAATAGGTTGATGTTTGTAGTGTGTACAAAGTTTCATAAAAAAAATATCATGAAGTGCCAATGAGATATGCTTAAGAAACAGAACCTGGACGGACAGAAGGACAAAGACCATTTCAATATCAGTACTTTAACTTCAGTTCAGCGTGGATTAATTACTCAAAATAAAATTTGTTACCTCTGGTTCCCGAGCTTGTAAACATGTGACGTCTGCTTTTGTGTCCCGCAACAGACGTGAGATCTTTTGATTTTCTTTGGATAAATTAAGTAATTCTTCACGGTATTTAGTTTCTGTTTCAGATAAAGTTGATTCTGCTTTTGATAATTTACTTTGAAAACCCGATAACAATTCTTCAAGTCTCTCATTTTCTTCTTGTAAAATCTGAATATAAAATTATTAAAACTAAGGAACATATCTAGATTAATATTGGGTGTATAAATGAAATACAGAAGAAGTACCGCCTTGCTTCCATTTGTATAGTTATCCAAGCCTGGAAATAAGGCACCTGTCACAGACATTGTCAGGCACAGATTCACACTGTGTAAGGTACACTCCCTCTAGTGCTAGTCATTTTGTACTGATTTGTTTTTCTTCTGTATTTTATTGATTTGATATCTATAATTATATATCCGACACCAAGCTCAAAATTACAGGTACTGGGTTGGTTGTTATTTCTAGGTCCAAACACTTCCATATATGATGGTCACTTTGATTTCATTTGTGAGCATTCAAACAATTAAATTTATACCTCCATTGAGTGAAAACTTCAACCAAAATTACAGGTACTGGGTTGGTTGTTATTTCTAAGCCCAAACACTTCAATATATGATGGTGACTTTGATTTCATTTGTGAGCATTCAAACAATTAAAATTATACCTCCATTGAGTAAAAACTTAACCAAATTTCTAAGAAACGAAAAACGTACCTGAATTTGTTCATTCTCAGAACTAAAGCCAATGGAGGATGCTCGAACATGATATTTACCAATTTCTTTTTTAAATCGATCCGTTTGAATTTTGTTCAGGTGGTTTTTACCATTAATAGATTCAATTCCAATATCAATAATCTAAAACAAATAACAATTAAAATTTAATATCCAACTGGCTTCAAATACAATCTTTCTTTTTTTTTATAAACAATATTTATATTCAGGATGTCTGAATGGGATTGGGGAGCAAGCTTAGCCTATGTAAAACCTCTCTTCAAATACAATCGATTACTCATCCAAAAGTTGTCACATCTAAAATATTACATGTATCTTTGATATAGAACACTGAAGACGTGACATTAAACAATGCTTAAAACCAAAACCAGGAATTGTATAACACAAACAGGCATCAGGTTACAGACTGCTAGTCTAAGACATGATGTTGCCATGATTGATGTCTAAATATTATCAATATTTGAAAATACATGAAATTGATCTGCATTTAATTTCCTTTAAACATCAAGAGCTAAATTTGATTATTGCAGGTCTTTCTTTAGGCTTGAAATGTTATCTAAATTATTAATTAGACATTAATTAACATATCCAGACCATAATAAACTCTCGATGACATTGGTAGCCTGCAATACTTACTGGATTAGAATCCGGTCTGCTGCTTCTGATTAAATCAAAAAAGGATAATCGAGACTATGTTTTTTATCATACCGACTTCAGTAATAATGATCGAAGCTAGGCCGAAAGTTCAATCGCTTAATTCTTGGTTCATAGTGGATCAAAATTTGACTGAAATTTTCAAATTTTCTTTAAATTATCTGGTTTTTACTATTATAGTGAGAACTTCCAGCTCTTTATCTAATTTCCCCTAATGTATCTTTAAACAATTTATTTTTCTATATTAGTATACATTCTTTCAAATATTTGGCAATATCTTTTAGTAACTGAACTGGATATACACATGACTGTTTACTACTGTCTGATAAATACACATGACTGTTTACTACTGTCTGATAAATACACATGACTGTTTATTACTATCTGATAAATACTAGAGAATCCTAGTCGAGACATCACTCAGAATATTCCATACAATTGTGTAAGGTGTATTAATGTGTTTCATGGAGTGAAGAACAGAGAGAGAGAGAGAAATGGGGTTTAACGTCCACTCGACACAAACTAGGTCATTTCGGGACTAATGTGTGGTTTTAATTTTTATTTTAGCAGTGGGAGGAAACCGGAGGACCCGGAGAAAACCCACGAGGTTGGACAGGCGAGTAAAGAACAAGCCAGGTATCTTATCCTAGGAACATCTGTGACAAAGGGGGAGCTGCGGCAGCTCAGTGAGTAAGGCTGATCCCAATGTTGGGCGAGAAAATTTATCGGGATTTTCTGGCATGGTTCCCCCCGTCCTGGCAAAATTTCCCTCATGGCACACTGTATGGTGTATGCTCGTCTTCATTAGCCCAGTCGGAACAGAGCAGTAGACGTTAAACCCCATTTCATTTCTGCTACATAGGTTAAGTTTATCCAGTCTGCATATTGACAGGTACTCATGAGTAGACAGAACAGTTTAACAGAAGATGTCTGTGTCCTGTGACAAAGATAAAGGTTATCCAGTCCTTATACACAAGTAATTAGTCCAGTTTAACATAGTAGGCTTGTGACAAAGATAAAGGTTATCCAGTCCTTATACACAAGTAATGAGTTCAGTTTAACATAGTAGGCTCGTGACAAAGATCAAGGTTATCCAGTTTTTATATAGACAGATACTGATTCCAATTTAACAGAGGATAAATATGACATAAATCTAGATTATCCAGTCTTTATATACACTGTAACCCAGGTATCGTTTAATCTTGTGTATCTAGCACTAATTTCTTTCACATTCGTTTGATATCAAATCTTTGTTTAAAAATTTGTAAAAAACTGTTTAAAATCACCATAAATCGTTTAATTTGTACTTCTGTCCAGTTTAAAGATGACCATTCAATTTTGATAATGAGTGTCCAATTTACAATTTCTCAATCATTGTTAAAAAATAAACAACCCAATTGATTAATGATTTATAATGATTAATTTTTGAACAGTGATCAGGAAATTAAATACTTGTAAATTGGACACTCATTATCAAAATTAATCAATCAGCTTTAAACTGGACACATGTACAAATTAGATGATTTTGGGTGATTTTAAACGATTTTTACGAATTTTTAATCAAAGATTTGATATTAAACGAATGTGAAAGAAATTAGTGCTAGATACACAAGATTAAACGATACCTGGGTTACAGTGTACTGAGTCCAGTTTAACAGAGGATAAATGTACCAAAAATCTAGATTATCCAGTCATTATATACAAAGATACTGAGACCAGGTTAACAGAAGATGCCTGTGACAAAGATCAAGGTTATCCAGTCCTTATATATATAGCTACTGAGTCCAGTACAGATTGTGACAAAAATCTAGGTTTATCCAGTCTTTATATAGACGGATCTTACTTGAAATAACATCATATAATACTTACATTATCTTTATTTTTTAATTTGAGCAAATCGTCTTGTATACGAGAGTTATCTGTTTCTATTTTACTCAGGTTTTCTTGTAATGATGTTATTGTTTCTACATGGTCACGTTCACAGATCTCAACTTGTAATTTTACCGTTGCTAATTCCGAGAAAAGTTCAGACTTCTCTTGTTGAAGTTGTCGAATTTGTTCAATAAGTTTACTTGATCCTGTTTTTGTTTCAGGTGCTTGTTTCGTATCTTCTCGGTTCGAAATGTTTCCTACAAGATAAAGTCAACTATATATTGGTTACAGAGTGAAACTATATCGAAAAATCTATTTTTTTAAGCATGCAATAACATAATTTTTGAGAGAATGGGGGTAAATGAAAGGAATATTTAGAAAAAACTTCACATGAATGGTATGACTCTTAACTCAATCTGATTAAAACACAGATCTTATTTTGTTTATTTTTTATAGTTTAAAATTTCGTTTTATTTGTCTGTACTACACTAGGATCTGGAAGAGTTGTTATATAACATGCGTTCTGGATGGCGTGAGGTATTAGCCAATTATGAAACCATCTGTTACGACAACTTCTTGGTGTGCCATGTACGGAACTGTGGGTAAACCACTAGAAAAGTCAACGCTGATTTATTAACTGGGGTCAAAAGCCACTCTACGACCCCTGACATGGCCTTTCAGTAAAACTGGTCAGATCTTCATGTAGTGTAGGCCATCGAAAGTATAAAGAAACGAAACGAAATATAGATCTGTATTATAATCAGATTGACTCTTATCTTTCTTATTTGACTTTAATTATTAAGAAAAGTGGTCTTGACATCTAATAAAATAACATAACAAAGCAATATGATCATCTAGAAAGATATAGACATTATAAAATCTTATGGTTCTTTACCACTGACAAGATATAGACAGGTGTAAAATCTTATGGTTCTTTATCACTGACAAGATATAGACAGATGTAAAATCTTATGGTTCTGAACTACTCACAAGGGCAAATTAGGCTGGAAAATCCCAAGGAACTTTCTGGGCCAACACTGGGATCGACCACAACATGTACAGGGGACCTCAGTTTTCGAATAATCAGAACAACTAGACACTGTCCCTTGTTCGGCTCAATGACAGACTTTATGGTACAGCACGCACATGCTAACCATTTGGCCACCCAATCCCCTATTCTGGAAGCAGCTTTATGTCGCTTGTTACCGTAACCCAGTGTGCCGCTAGATCTTCCAAAGTGTGCTGTGAAATTTTCAACCGCACCATGTGATCCCAATTGAGTATTCACTGGTGTCTACTGGTAAGTTAAAAGCTGTGTTTTTCTTTATTTAGTTTGAATCATGCTATGTGTATATGACTAGTTTGTGTCTGCCGTCTATGACTTGCCATATTTTCATATATATTTAGCCAGTTGTGCCGCTATTTTTTCATGTGTTCCAAGGATTGCCGTGGGCAAGAAAAGGTTGAGAACCACTGCTGTAACCAGTTATTCATATTATTCCCTTATAATTACCATGTATTTGTTCTTCCAGTGATAATATCTTTGTTTCATGTTCCGCTATTATTTCCTGTAAGTTTGTGAGTAGTGTTTCTCTTTCTGCCAGCTGAGTTTCATGTGATTTCTGTAAGATTTTTTGAAGTTGTTTTTGGGAAAGGTCATCTTTTTCTAGTTGTGTTTTATAAACTTTGTTTTTATCTGTTAAATTCTGAAAACAAATAATTAAAAATAAAATTAATAGTAATAGTCTACAATCAATTGGGCAATTTTCCGACATCCCTGTCATGACAACATGTTACACCCTAAAACATTGTTGGCATAAAAATCTATCTCTTACTTTCAGCAGGTACTTATCATACTGGACAGTTTTGAGCCACTGATCTTCACCTACAGGATTTGAATGCCTTGAAAACTGCATAAGCAAGACTGGGGTAGTTGAATCTCTAACAGGAATATCAGTTCAAAAATGGTTCAGTTGAATTCAGTATTTACAAAGTTATGATGACTTAAAAAATTTGCAACATTTGACATTGATTGCAGACAGTATAAACAAGGTAATGTTCAGGGCCACCTACATGTTTTGGGTAAAAGCTTTTGATTGCTCTCTTTTTAATCCAGTAATAAATTAGAGGACATTTTAGTGTGTATTAAGCAAGAGAGAAAAAGAGAGAAATGGGGTTTAATGCCCACTTGATACAAACTTGGTCATTTTGGGACTAACATATGGTTCAGTTTTATTTCAATAATTTGCTTGCGCGTAGGGGTCTTTAGCAGTGGGAAAAAACCGGAGGACCCAGAGAAAACCCACAAGGTTGGCCAGGAGACCGTACTCCTTATCACGTACAACCGGGGAATTGAAACCACGCAACTTGACTCAATTACAGGCTTTATTGTTCCGAGTGCACATGAAAAAATGGGCTTCTGATATCCAATATTTAAGACATAATGAAAATTTTCAAATAGGCATGCTTCCTAGTGCCATTTCTAATGAAGCAACTCGATCAAATGAGGCTAAACATAACTCACAGTAGAGAATACTATCGGTGTAGTTTCTTTAATTAAACAAAGGGTATATGCTCTAATCAATATGGCAAATATTTTTTCAGAGAGATTCTAATCCATTTAGTTTTTATTTGTTTTATTTATGATGCATACATTTGCGGTTCTAATTCATCCATACAATAATATTTATACCTTTATTTTCAATAAGAGGTCATCACGCTGTGTGTTTCGTTCTTTTAAAGCTTGTTGGAGGGATGCATATTCAGCTGGACTTCTTTCCTCTGAAAAAATAAATTGATAATACAATTTATTAATTTAACAAAAATTTCACTGAAATGAAATGGGGTTTAACAACCTACTTTTCACTGACTAGGCTAATGGAGGCCGGGATAACGCCATGCAGTATGCTTAGAGGGAATCTTATTTCAAATTCCAACTGTTAAAGGTTCTTACACGAACATGAGTCAGCTAATGGTTGTCAAGTTTTAGGAACAGAAGATGTTTTCTTGGTGATATCGCTAATTTATATTAGCAATTAAAATATATTCTTGAAAATCATTGGTTGCATTTCCATTCCCCATTGGTGTCCCAGTTTTGACTGATCAAGTGAACATCTTGTACCTTCAGTCAGCAATACGGTTAGTTGTACCAATGATGACAAAGTACAGTTACGACGATGAACGAGTCTCATTGCAGATGGCACAGTAATAACTGTTTTCAGATAGTTTTGTTGTCGTTGGGCAACGCAAACCTTGCTTTTAAAGGAAATTTTTGTTGTGTATATTGTAGTCATTTCATATGGTCAAAACAGGACAAATTTTAAAATGGTCTGACATAAGTTCAAGACATTACTGGTGACATTTAAAGATGATGTTATATTAAGATAAAGAGCTGACTGTTCTTGCTACAATAGTTCAAACATAGATAATGCATAATGAATATACATGTGTATTGAAAATTTCATTAAAATTACTTTATTCCAAGAAAAGTTATTACTGTTTGAAGTTTTGAGAAGATGTACCATAGATTGTTTTACCGTAGCAATGGTACTGGACAATTGAGACTAAGTCTCTATTCACCATTTTTAAATTATATTAAATTAAATTAAAGTTTTTTAGTCCATTTAAGTCTCGGCCATCTGATGGTCTAGACCATTGATTATAGACTTATCATGTGAATAAATATCTAAAAAATAACTTGTATACCATTTGAAGCCAGAAAAAAAAAGAATTGCAATGGGCAGATTTAGCTCTTTAAACATACACTATGCAAGAGCTAAATCTGCCAATTGCAGGTCTTTCTTTAGGCCTGAAATGTTATATAAACTATTAATTAGACATTAATTAACCTATCCAGACCATAATCAACTGTCAATGGCATAGGATACTCGAGATTTGGACTAGATTAGAGCGGTTTGCCATTTAAAAATTTTATTTAATAATTGGAAAGCGAGGCCAAGTCTCGAATATACCAGCGCCCTGGTTACCACTATGCACACATCTTATCAAAACTACACACAGTGATAACTTGGCTCAGAATGAAGTAATTTCAATCAAATATTTTCATTTTACATTACATGTATCTATTTTTGAGCTATTATAGTAAGAATGGTCAGTTCTTTATCTAAATCTTACATAATGTATCTTTAAGGAATTTGCGTCAAAATTGAGGTGTGTGTAATAAAAGTTTATACAAATTAACATTGTAGAATATATATAATTTATGACTGGTGTAATATCAACACAAAGGTTGTCATGGTTCACTTCAATTTTATAAAAACACAAATAAATAGGTTTTACTTTAATATTATAAGATAAATAATACCCATCCTTAAATTTTAAATATATGTAGGTATTTGAGACACCATTATCTCGTAAGTGAAGAAATGTATTTTACTCTAATTGCTATAATTATGAATCAGATCCTTAAAGGTACCCAAAGTAGTACGATTCGTTAACAAAATATTCAATGAGAGGGGTAGACACGGTGGCTTAGTAAGACATTGGATCGCTAACCTGGACGTCCCATGTTCTATCCCTTTAATAATAGCAATTTATATTTCCTCCGAACCGAAACACCCTCCCTGTTATTCCTACAAACTGATACAGGGTTTGGATGGCTGAATGGTTAGCGTGTGCGCCCTGTATCATAAGGTCTGTCATTGAGTCGACTGGCATGCTTTCACGATTCCCCGGTTGTACGTGACAAGGATTAGGGTCAATTCTTTAGGGTCACCTGTCCAACCTCATGGGTTTCTTCCCACTGCTAAAGACCCTTAAGCGCAAACGAATTATTGAAATAAAATTGAACCATATGTTAGTCCCGAAATGACCTAGTTGTTAAACCTCTCTCTCTCCAAACCGATACACATGCTCTCCATTATTACTACAATCTATAAGGGTGTTTTGTTGAAAAGGATTAAGTATACATCCCTTTATAACATATTTACCAACACCTTTAAGAAGATATACTGATAAGAGATGAGTTATTTAACGGGATTTACTATTATAGTATTATAGCTAGCCTGGGGTGTTATAATAAACCATGGGTACCGATGGTGAATAATAAAAGATGATCGTTGTTATGATAAGAGTTTTAACTACTATAACTAACCAGTAATATACACACATGATAACATGACCATTAAAAGCTGGACATCTTATCTTCAAGGACAGTGTATTTAAATTTGTAGAAATGAGTACAGTTCTTATGACCAAAACGTTTATTACAATAGATCTGGTTGATTGAAAAACCCTTAAAGTTTCAATCACTATATACTGTTACATATGATGTAAATATATGTGTGAGAGAGAGAGAGAGAGAGAGAGAGTCTTTAGTAGTGGGAGGAAACTGGAAGACCTGGAGAGAACCCACGAGGTAGGACAGGCGACTCTACTCCTTGTTACGTGCAACCGGGGATTCGAAACCACGCCAGATGACTCAATGACAGATCATATGATACAGTGCGCATATGCTAACCATTCGGCCATCCAACCCCCCAGGAAATATGCCTTTTGAAACTGGAAATACATTTACCTGATAGTAATACCAAACTAATAACACAGTTTGAACCTTAAAAATGTGCTTGGACCAAGTCTGGAAATAAGGAACCTGTCACAGACAATACCAGGCACAGATTCAGGCTTTGTCAGACACAAAACCTCTGGTGCCTGTCATTTTGTTCTGCACTGATTAGTCGTTTTTATTGATATTAATAATATACTGAGCGCCATTAATAATATACTGAGCGCCACACAAAACCTCTGGTGCCTGTCATTTTGTTCTGCACTGATTAATCGTTTTTATTGATATTAATAATATACTGAGCGCCATTAATAATATACTGAGCGCCATGGAAAACGCATCACTTAGTTTTTCGTACAACAAAATGATCCTGTAAACATATCTTATTTATTTTGCTTCTTATTGTGAACAATATTCAAATGGGAACACATCAATAAGAACACATTTGTACACTTATGGATGTTTAATCTGTAATCAACGGTACAAAGTCAGAGGGGTCAAAACCAAAAGTACGACACAGATGTCAGTAGCGCGTGTGTCCTCCACGGGCTCTTACGCACGCTGTGCAGCGACGTCGCATGGAATTTACCAATGTTTGAAAGAAGGCCTGGAGCAAATTGTTCCATTCTTGGACAAGAGCAGCTTCTAAAGCAGCAATGGTGTGCATCTGTGGTCTTCGATACAGATGGCATCCCAGACATGTTCTATCGGTGCCATGTCCGGAGACATGGCTGGCCAGTCCAAGACCATACTAAAACAGGCGGTATGCGGACGTGCATTATCCTGTTGGAAGTGCTGAAGTTGTGGGTGCACTCGAAACATCGGAACAACAATTGGTTGCAAGCATTAACGCGACCCCTGCAAATGTGAAGCGCGGTCCGGTGATGAAATGTGAAGCCTCCCCACACCATTACACTTCCCCCACCCCATCGATTCGTTTCGAAGACGCAGCAGTCTGCAAGACGTTCCCCAAGATGTCTCCACACACGTTGACGGCCATCAGCGTGATAAAGATGAAAGCGACTCTCATCACTGAAGAGCACACTTTGCAAGTCTACTCTTCTCCATGTCTGGTGTCCTTGAGCCCATATCAAACGCCGCTGACGTTGATGATCCTTGAGGATAGCTCCAACATAAGGTCGTCGGGAACGGAGTCCTACTTCTCTTAGACAACGTCTTATGGTTTTGGCACTTACTGGTCCTTGTCTTCCCACGACTGCTGCACCTGTTCGAGTTGCTGGGCGGAATCTGTCACGCAGATGAGTGACCCGGATGTAGCGGTCTTGAGCCTGGGTTGTAACGCGTTGTGGACCAGGACGTTGACGGTCACGTGTGGATCCAGTAACTCGAACACGTTCCACCAACCTTAAAATAGTGGACTGATGACAATTGAAGTGTCTGGCAATAGCACGTGTAGACATGCCAGCCCTGGACATTCCCATGGCTTCATTCCGTTGATTTTCAGTAAGTCTTGGCATCTCTAGCTCGATTCCTTCACACGTTCAACAACAAATTACGACAGATTGACGTTTCACAGTTCATGTACTGCACATTAAGTTGAAAACATGCTTTTAAAGGGCTCACACACAATGCTGCACGTGAATATTGGGTTTTTCATGTGTATCTCGTGCAATTTTTTTTTTGTGCACACGGGCCGATATTTTTTGCGTTTGGAAGCATTGTGTGAAACAATAGTTCATAGTATTGCATAATATTATACATACAAAACCACCTAGTAATAAAATATTTGGGAAAAAAAAGTGATGCGTTTTCCATGGTGCTCAGTATACATGTCCAGCACTAAGTTGAAAATGTCAGGTACTATTTCATTAGTGTCTGACATTTTGTCAGGTATATCTAAAACCGTTATTTCCAGGCCTGGCTTGGACGACTACAAGACTTGAATGACACACAGTAATCATAATGTCTGTCCCATTGCATCTCTCAGTTTTGATAATTGTACATTAAAGTCAGGAGTAAACCCCAAATATTTCACAAATTAAGGGAAATATATCTATTTTAAAGATTCGTTATTTTCAGAAATCTGAAAATACAGTAAAAGGGATAAAAAACAAATACATCATATGAACTGAATTGAATATATTTCCGTTGTTAAACCCCATTTCATTTCATTTGAATATATTTCAATATTATTTGAATAGTAAAATTAGCTTTTATTGTGACCACTAATTTTACCACTTTGTGAAAATTACAATAAAACTACAGTAAGTATTAAACGTTAATATTCAGGAGGTGA